AGAGAGAGAGAGAGAGTGTGTGTGTGTGTGTGTGTGTGTGTGTGTGTGTGTGTGTGTGTGTGTGTGTGTGTGTGTGTGTGTGTGTGTAACAGAGGAGTCATTGGACCCTTTGTTTAAAAGGTGGTGATGATGATGTGCTCACGAAACAGTAGTTGAAGCCATAAGCCAAAAGTCCACGAAGTAAACATAAGTCTGTATGATTCTAGGACATGGCTAACATAGCAAAAGTGTTTTTCCCATGATGCTCATACTTTTCTGAAGAATAGCTTGATATTTTGTAGTTCTGGCGCAGTTCTATTGGTAAAAAAATTCTTTTATTATTTGTTTAATTCTGAAAAGATACTATCAAAGGCCATAAAATTATACATCAGAAGCTCTTCGAAGACAATATTTCTGTTCTGTATTATTTTTATTGAGAAATAATCTCTTTACCTGTGGTCCCTTTTAAGGTAATCTTTTTCCTCTTGTCTGCTTTGAGTTTTTTCTCTTTTTTTAATGTTCAGAGTTTTACTATCATGTACCTTGATGTGATTTTTTTTTTAATTTGAATGTCAATTGATAAGGAAAAATTTAATGCAAACTTTAACATACTGAATTAAAAAAAAAAAAAAACTGTTAAAAATGAATTAGAAAAATCTAAACAGAAATTTGGTGAAGGACATGAGCAGATAAGTCACACACCCCAAAGAAACAAACAAGGGGCCATGGGCCTTACCCCATCCCCACTGCACAACCAGGCCAGCAACAGAGCCAGCTCAATGCTTGGGGGTCACTTTGTGCTTTAAACAGGGGTATTTACCTTACAAATGTTATTTAAATGTCTTGGGAAGATTTCTTCACAGAAAGATAGTACTTTGTGAAAAATGTTAAATTTAACAGGTTGCCTATCTCCCTTTTAGTAAATAATTTCCTAAATTTTATCCTAATTTACCAAAATGTCTTTTATCAATATGTTAAATACTCATTAAAAAATAACTTTCAGACATTAAGAATTAAATGAGCCATTTCACACTTAAAGCTTCAACATCTTCCTGTGTTGATTTCACTATTAATTAGCATTTTTTTGCTCCTCTAGAGAGAAACATTTTGATATCAAAATGTGAAATGAGATGCTTTAGGCTCTTCATTCTTGTGAAAAGAGCATATCATTAAAAGCTAGGTAGAGCGTTGGTTGTTACTGACTTTATATTGTCTTTATAGAATGAATTATTAAGCTTGATAATTTACTTATTCTGAATCATAGCATATTTATGTATTATATGACTTTTATCATAGGTATCTAAGGTGAAGATATATTGCCTAGTTGAAGTCAAACCCGTTTAATGGATTGTAGTCAGAAATACATGTGGACAAGGCACATGAAGGTTTTTAAATTGAGATTTTAAAAAATTTTCAGATAAATGTAAAACATGTTTCTACAACTCTAATATATTATTTTCCTGGTAACATACTTTAAATACATCATACAAGCGTACTTCAAAAATTTCATGGAAAAATTCATGCTGTCTTTTAATTCTACTTTTTCATAAACTTTGAAGTATCCTCATATGTGTACCTCACCCGTCTTCTCTAGACTATAAACTATTTAATGATGGGCAACATATACATGTGTATATGTGTAATAGAGCATAACAGTAATAAATGATCAATAAGTTCCGTGTGTGTGCTCTGGATCTATTAGTTCTTTGATCTACCACTGTTACTTGGATTTATAAAGTGCTCTTAAAGGTGATGTTTACTGGGGGGGAAACATAGTAAGAGTCATAAGCCAAACAAATGTCCTAGACCAAGTTGCACCAGAGTTGGTGCATGACCTCAGCCCTTATTGTAGAGTATTACCTAACCTATCCCTTACCTGCAAGGAAGTTCAGAATCAATTTTGCAATTTTAGTAAAATTCTTCAGTAAAATTCTCCTCGGAGGAAAGTATTACACAATTTAATATAGACTTTTAGCCTCCTTCTCTTGGCAGGATAGGGCTCTTTCTTGAGTAGGTTTTGTATGTATATAGAATGATAGTAAATACTGAACATTGTGGGGGAGGCATGAACATTTTCAGGTGTGACATAAAACCCAGAAGATATAAGAGTAAAATTGGTAGATTTTATTACATAATTAAAACACTTCTTTTAGCAAAAGATAAACATTTTTAAAGCTATGACACAGGGTAAAATTTATGACATATGCATAAGGAATTAGAACCTCTTATTTTTCAAGTGTTCTTTTAGCTTATTAAGTAAAATACAGTCCAGTAGAAAAAATGAGCACCTCATAGAAGAATGGACATATGAATGTTCAATAAACATATGAACACAAACAGTGACAGATCATTTTATATTTATTAGATTGGTTAAAAAAACTGATAGCAACCATTCTTGGCAAGGCTGCTGGAAAATGCAGTCTCATGCTGGATGTTCACTATTACATTGTTTATAGTAGCAAAAAAATTAGAACCAGAATAAAAATTAATAAATAAATGAGGGAGCATGCATACTTGATACAATACTATGTTAAAAACGATGAAATAATTCTATTTTTGTGTTAAGACCTGCATGAAAATGTGTGTATATGAAAAAAGTTCATGGAGACATTTCTATTATCTTTTCATTCTATTTCTTCATGAACTTTTTGAAGTACCCTCATATATCCAAATATGTAGTTGTTTATAAGCATTTAAAAAGTCTGTAAAGTTAATTGACAAACTGAGGACAATGTGAATCCTTCTAAAGAAAATGGAACTATTTGAAGCAGGGGAGGGAGCCTTCATTCAGCTTTATCACTTTTCTCCATGTTATATACCTTTATGATTTAGTTTTGTTGCAATGAGTCTGTATTAATTGTATAATTAAGAACCAATAGCAAAAACCCTTTATTCAAAAATTAAAATTAAAAGTCTTAGTTCTTAAAATCAAACAAAATGAAAATGTAGGGTAATGCAAAGATACCTCCTTATTCTTTTTTTTTTTTTTCCCACGAGAGGGTCTTCTCATAAGGACCAGAAAACCTGCTAGACAAATTCAAAAGGAGCTGTAACACTCATCCTTATTCTTAAAAGAATTTGTTCAGAGGAATAACACACCGTGTGAATGATATGAGAAGCCACATGTTATTCATTTAACAAAGTGATAAATTAAAAGAACGTTAAAAATTAACTCCCCAAATTGGGCATTTTAGTTAGTGAATACTTATTTTTCTTGTCATGCTGCTTCTGATGATGTCTATGCCATTTTTCTCAATATTCTGTTACTTTCTTACTTTATTAAAATTGACTCTCTTAAAACCTTCAGTTGTTTATCTCCTTATTTACAGCCTCCTTTCTTACCCATACCCAGCTACTTAGGAAGTCTATATTAACCAAAAATTTAATAATTGATTTTTTTTCTCTCAGAGGAAGTAGAAATTTCAACAAAGAGTACAAACAGACATCACACTAATGTGTCATTCAGTAGGCCATATTATTAACTGACAGTGTTGGGTGTGAGTAACGTGGTGGTGGTGGTGGTACTGTTCAGTTATTCTAAATGTATTCTTCATGGTGTGACGTGGTTATTTTGCTTGAAATTGGGATGTCCAGAGGGTCAACAAGTGATGAAATTTGGATTGAGTTCTATGATATATTGGGTATTGTGCAGTGGTTTGTATATATGCTGTGTTGTTTAAGCCTCACAACTATCTGCAAATTAGGTAGTTTTATCTATTTCATAGGTGAATAAAGAGTTTTTCAGGGCCGGCCCGGTGGCGCACTGCGCTAGTACGCCGCTTGGGAAGCGCGGCGGCGCTCCCGCCGAGGGTTCAGATCCCACATACAGACCGGTTCCCGCTCACTGGCTGAGCGAGGCGCGGGGGCAACGCCGAGGGTTGCGCAAAAAACAATACAAAAGATCAATGAATCAAAAAGTTGGTTTTTTGAAAAGATAAATAAAGGGGCACTGCGCTAGTACGCCGCTTGGGAAGCGCGGCGGCGCTCCCGCCGAGGGTTCAGATCCCACATACAGACCGGTTCCCGCTCACTGGCTGAGCGAGGCGCGGGGGCAACGCCGAGGGTTGCGATCCCGTTGCCGGTCCCGGTCCGGTACGGGGGCGACACTGAGGGTTGCGATCCGTTGCCGGACACGGAAAAAGACAAAAAAAAAAAAAAAGAGTTTTTCAGAAAGTAATTTGCTTGGAGTCCCAGGCTAATTTATTTCTTCGTTTACCTACCAGTGCTCTGAGCGCCACCTGAGTGGTAAGTGCTCTGCTAGGTGTTAAGGTATCTTTGGGCAAGTTAAGTCTTACCTTAATGTTGGGTAGGTTAAGTGTCTGCACAGAAGTATGATATGTGGCAAGTGCTCTGTTGATGTAGCAGAAACACAGAAGAGGACCAGCCATAGCAACTGGAGCATTCCAGGAAGGGTTCCCTACGTAAAATAGTGCTTGAATTGAGCTTTTAAAGATCGAGAAATAATGTTCCCGCCAGAAGGAAGAACACCTTTCAAGGCATGCACGGCGTGTTCAGAGAGTGCAATAGTATAGGATCAGTGAACAGTAGAAAGTGAGACTGGAGAGGTGGCCTGTCAAGTTGGCCAGGCCAGATGCCTTGTGCATTCAACATGTGATTGTTGAACACCTACCATTTTCCAGGCACAATTGTAGGGTAGGGAGTATAGCAGTGAACAAAACAGTCAAGACCCTGCATGCATGAAAATTTCACATAGGTGTGGACAGACATGTAATAAACAGAATAAATAAATGAATATATTACTCAAGTAAGTAGTGTATCAGATGATGATCAGCTCTACTGAGAAAAATAAAACAATAAGGGATACAATTTTAGATAAGGTGGTCAGGGAAGGTCTGCTTGAGAGTTTCATTTGAAGGGGTGGAACAAAGAACCTACAAGGTTATCTAGCTGAGCCTTGTTATGTCCTGGCGTGGCTGGTGGGGAGCATGCCAGGAACAGAAGGGATCCTGTTGACTAGACCGCCTGGAGGGGCAGATGGTTGGTCAGGCTGTAAAGGCATTGTAAGGGCTATGGCTTTTACTCTGAGTGATCTGGGAAGCCATTGGAGGGTTCGAAGAGAGGACTAAGGTGATCTAGTTTATGTTCTAGAATAAGCACTCTGGCTGCTGTGCTGAGTATAGACCCTGGTGGGTCGGCCTGGGTACAGATAAAGCAGAGGGACCAATCAGGAGGCTGTTATCAGGATGGAGACAAGTGATGTTGGCCCACGGGGTGCTGGTAAAGGTGATGACAAGTGAGAGAGCTTTGGGTACAGTATGAAGGTAAAGCCCTGCATTTGCTGCACTGGAGGCGGACTGGGGAACAGAGGGGCCTTACGAGGACTCCCGGTTCCACCTGAACAACAGAAGTGTACAGGACTCAGTTCTGAGCACCAGCAAGTCCTGCAAGCCTTAAAGACATTCAGAGGGAGGTGTGAGGTGGGCACAGAAATCCAGGTCAGAGGAGAGGTCCAGGCTAGAGACAGGTGTTCGGAGGCTATCAAGTGTGCATGATATTTGGAGCTGTAAGGCTGAACGAGGTTACTGAGGAAGTGAGTGAGGTGAAGAGTTACGAGGTGTGAGCACTGAGTTCTCTAATGTTTATCAGGCATGGGAGACAAGGGGGAACTAACAAAGAAAATTAAGAAGAGGTGTCCTGTGAAGGCAAAAAAAGACCAAGAGTATAAAGCCTTGAGGCCCAGGGAGGGATGTTTCCGGGAGAACAGAGTGATTAGCTGAGTTCAATGCCAACTGTGAGTGAACTATTGGATTTAGCCAGGTGGGGGTCATTGGAGAGCTTGACAATAATAGTTTCATTGGTATAGGGGGTGTGGGGGTCCAATTGGAATGAATTTGAGGGCAAATGCAAGGAGAGGAGCTGTGGAGAGCAAGTATGACTGCAGTAGGGGTGTTACCAAGGAGCTGCTAGGAGTGGGGCAGAGCAGCAAGTGGTAGATAGGCACCCACTCATCCTCCCCCACTCCCTCCGCACTGACTTGCCAAAGACAGGAGCCAGGGCAGTGTTGTGTGTCCATACAAATGAAGCAGTACCGTGTAGTTAAGCTGAGGTGTTTTAATTTCATCCTAAAGACTGTTGAGAGACACTAAAATGTTAAGCAGGGAAATGACTTGAATTTGTAACTTTGGAAGATTATTCTGGTATAGTTTACTCAAGAGATAGAGTAGAAAGAGGATCAGTTAGGGGCCTGTTAGGTTAATCCAGATTTAAAAGGTTAAACCAGGAAAGGCTCCATGCTTCCTGTTGATGGAAGGAGGGCTGGGGTGAGAAAGTGTCTCCCGTTAAACAAAGTTCTGAGCTTCACGGTGATTGGCCCAGCTTGAGAGAGTCACTGTGCCAAGTGACGAGCTGTCCTCAGTACAGCAGGGGCCACCCCCAGACACTGTCAGAAGATGGCGGCCTGGTGCACTCTGCGGCAGCCCTGTGTGCAGGCTCCTAAAGTCACCACTCCGGGGCCTGGGCCTTCCTGGGACCTTGGCTTCACTAGCATATCAATTCCTCTGGCAGCTGTACAAACCTGTGGGTTTTCCTTGCCTTTCTCTGTGCTTCCTGCACAGGTTTTGGTATCGTTTCTAGTGAGCTGAATGTCAATTTTTGGTCCTTTGGCAAGTAATGTTGACATTGATCATAAATCCTTTGAAGGGTTGATGCTAAAATACCAGAATAGGATTCATCTTTCCTGATTTCTGTGCATAATCTTTTCAAAAGGAGTAAAAGGAACCTCATGTCTCTTTTTTTTTCCCCCCCAGAAGGTGAGCGGGCTTTGCCATCAATACCAAAGTAAGTGCTGCTTTGTGTATGTTCTTATTTAGTTTTGTAAGAAACTTTAAGGAAATCACTATACTTTTTCATCTGTTTTCCTGAAAAATTAAGTTTCTATTATATGATTAGGGAACCAGAAAATAAGTATTTCTAGAAAGAAGGCAAAAGTTGTAAATCATGTTAGATATTTAGGTTTAATCAAAAACTTTTAAATTAGTTTTCCCTTTAAGTTCAATAGGGAAGGTAAATAGTCATAATGATAGCAATGTAAAGGGCCTATCGTTAAATATTTACTTTGTTATTGCTAACATATCAGAGAACCTGAAAATAGGTACCATTCTGGCTATTTTGCAAGTAAAAGAAGTAAAGAAGTAATTTATGTTAATTTTTTTACCTGTTTATGTCACAAATTTCATAGTCAATGTGTTTATCTATAAAATTAAAGGACTCAAGTAGTAATGCCAAAAGAACTTATGCAGTTACCTCTGTATTCTCACCTAGTATGCAACAAGATGTGAAAGTTAAAATCTAGACTTTAAGATATACAGGTAAATTAACAATTATAGCTATGTGGTAAGTGCTTGCAGAGATATTTGCACAGAACTCCAGGATGCCTGAAGAAGAATAGAGAACCTGAAAGGCCATGGGGATCAAGAGGGTAAAACCTGGGCCTGGTCCTGTTCTGTCCCTCTCCCTTTCTCCATAGCCAGTTCCTCCAATTCCACTTCCTAAATATGTCAGATCCATCCACTTCACCACCTTCCCACTGTCCCTCCCCTGTTTTTGGCTATTGTCATCCTCTCTCTTGGTTACTCCAATAGACTCATGTGTCAGGGGGTCCCCCAGGTTCAGTGATTCCCTAGGAGGACTCACAGGACTCAGCATATAATCGTACACACAGCTCCGCTTTATCATCTCAACAGGATACAAAGCAGAATCAGCAAAGGGCAAGGCACGTGGCACCAAGTCCAGAGGGAACTGGGAGCACACTTCCAAGGGACCCCACCCAGGGGAGTCACACAAGACACACTTAATTCCCCAGCAGTGAGTTGTGACAACACATACAAAATGTTGCCTACCAAGCAAGCTCACACAGACTTGGTGCCCCGGATTTTTATTGGGGGCTGCTCACATGCACGCTTTCTGCCTGACATGTACCACAGTTGCAGAGTCCCAGAAAGAATGCAAGAGTTCAGCATAAGCCATATTGTTTATACAAACATTTAAGTGCAGTGAACTACCATTATTAATCAGTTAGGGGATAGTGGGAACTCTCCTAAAATTGAAGTTCCCAGACACCAGCCAAGGGCCAACCACTTAGGCAGGTCACTCTCGGGCCTGCTGTTAACTCTTTGCTGTATACGTCCTACCAAATCTTTCTCTGTCCAGTTTTGCCCATCATCCTGTCCATTCTCTACAGCTTGAGGAGATTTGCCTACTAAAAACTCTTACCTGAGTTGCTCTTGCAATGAATTCCAGTGTTCCTAACCTAGGTTGCCTAAGATAGCCAGCAAGATTGTTCCCTTGCTAATGCCTCAAGGGTTTTGCCACTCTCCATGCTCTGTTCTCAGCTGCATTATACTCTTTTTAGTTACTAGAGCAAATGTCCTTTCTTCTCCCTGCAGGCTTTTATTCATCTCCTGTGTGACCCATTTTTCCCCCTACCCCCTTTTCTTTGCCTAAGCCCTGCTTCTCTTTCAGGTCTCATCCTACCTCACTTCCTCTGGAAACATTCCATGATGCCTCATGCTAGGAGGGCATCCCTGTTGCAGTTTCCTATAACACCTTCTACTTAGTACTTATCATACTTCTAAAAATGGCCTTTTTATTGTTCACCCCTCCCCTGGACAGCCAGAGTCATGTGGTGTCGTGGACCTGACACCGGGCAGCATCTGCATGTAGTCAGTGCACGTGGCTGTGTAGATGAGGGAGGCTGGGTGAGAGTGGCATCTCCTAGCTTGTATGCTTCACAAAGTCAGCAATTGATGTCCACATCCAGCTAGGAACTGATGCTTATGTAGAGTATCTTCGGTTGTGGAAAGTTAAGGAATGATTTTGAGATTAAAACATACAGGAATCATAAACATAGATATAAAAGTGAATAGAGAAAGTAGTAGATTAGAAGTGGTAACAGACACTAGAAGAAGTGAATAAATAAAGTAAACTTTCAAAGAGTGGAATTTCCACAAATCATAGAGCAGTAGCACACTATTGCTATTGATCAGATAAGTGCTAAAACCCAAGCTATTAAGAGAAGGTTGATTGGCAACAGCATACGTAAATGTGGTGTGGTCAAGGGAAAACCCCAGTGTTTTGGCAACAGAACTAGGAAGCAAATAATGTGATCTTAATGTGTACCCTGTGACACCCAATAAATATAGTCCAAAGGTAGTTATGATAAATCATGTCTATGATGGAAGAGAAACTGATGCTTTATTAGAAAACAATTTTGGGGCCGGCCCGGTGGCGCACTGGAGAGTGCACCGCTTGAGAGCGCAGTGGCACTCCCGCCGAGGGTTTGGATCCCATGTGGAGACTGGTTCCCGCTTTGATAAATCATGTCTATGATGGAAGAGAAACTGATGCTTTATTAGAAAACAATTTTGGGGCCAGCCCGGTGGCGCACTGGAGAGTGCACCGCTTGAGAGCGCGGTGGCACTCCCGCCGAGGGTTTGGATCCCATGTGGAGACTGGTTCCCGCTTACTGGCTGAGCGCAGTGCAGGCGCAACACCAAGGGTTGCGATCCCGTTACCGGTCAGTAAAAAAGACAGAAAGGAATAAAAAAAAAAAAAAAGAAAAGAAAAGAAAACAATTTTGGTTAAATATATAAGATCTCAAATACTTGAGGAATTTAGTAAAAGGAACTCAATCTATGTCTTTATGCTATGATTATTAATTATAGAGGTACAGTTTCATACTGAGTATTTTCTAGTTTTCAAAAATGATACTTTTTTAAGTTCCCATGTTTCCTAGTATAAGTTTTATATATTAGGGAAAATATCTGTTCACTACTTCTATAGTAAATGCTTATGTATCCAGAAAAGGTTTTCTTTTATAAAAGGACCAAGGTAACATTGACACCTAAATATTATGGGGTTCCTTTTTTCTCTGTGTTTTGTGCTTTCCAAAAATTTTAAACTAAACTATGCTTGCATTTTTTAAATGTCACCGAAACATTTGGCCAGAATTTTGTTTTATATGGGTAAATATGTAAAACACTAATGTTCTTGAGCCATTTCATGAAGCAAGTAAACGAATGCATTAAGATTACCTTTTCTCTTCTTTGGCCAGAATTTTGTTTTATATGGGTAAATATGTAAAACACTAATGTTCTTGAGCCATTTCGTGAAGCAAGTAAATGAATGCATTAAGATTACCTTTTCTCTTCTGTGAATCTGTAAAAGATAATAAATAAGATTACCTTTTTTCAGTCTATGAATAATATATATTAATGTACTTCCTGATTTTTTTTTACATGCTGTAAACTTAAGAAACATCTGTCATACTACAGTATTTCAAATTATATTTTAGAGAGCAAAATTCAATTCCAGATGTGTTTTTTTTTTTTTCTCACTACTTTTGGGCAATCCTTTATAGTCTAGTGTTTAAATTAAAAAATTTTTTTAACCCATGTGCACTAAATTAAATGGTATTGCATTATTTTAAGTCACTGTCTTGAGTAACTTTGTCAGAATAGTTCAGTGTTCTTTCAGTTGTCTATTTTAACTTCTGATCTTTAAAGCAGTAAAGCAGTCTGGCTATTTTAAGTGCCTCAGATAGTAGATTTCAATTTTTTAAAAAAATCACTTGTCAAAAATTTTGTTTCCCTGGGAAATGGCATCATCCTCCTAATCCAAGGTAGCTCCCTGTGTGCTTAGACTTGGTGGCTTGGTCCTGTGGAAGCACAGCACTCACAGCTCTACTCCTGTCTGTTGCAGGTTGGCCAACAGCGAAAAGCAAGGCACACGGACACATGCAGTCTCCGTGTCAGGTAAGGGCTCCAAGTAGAAACCCTTGCAGAGCAAGCTCCAAGGGGTAAGAAAATCATAGGTACTCTTCATTTTTAGCATGAGTGCTTTATTGTAGAATGGCTTATAAAAGTAAAACATTCTGGCTCCCCAAATTTGCATGACTTTACCATCACTAAATAGTTTCAAATATGGCTCATAGATAGGTGTCTTATTTTAGATAAGACATATATGTGAAATACCAGATTACTCGCTAGGTTATATAGAATTCCAGCTTACTTTTCAGTTTTAATGTCATGTTAATCATATCTAGAATGAAAATTTTTACTTTTGAAGTTGCTGTTATAATTTATATTTGCAATTCAGCAAAATTTAACAGAATAAACTTTGTATATTTATTGTTTTTTGAAGTTAAGGAAATGTGGAACATTTTTAAATAGTTTATATCTTTTACAATTAACATAAAATGGTGTGTGAGTATTGCTTTTTAAAAAATATAGTTAAGATACTGGCATAAGCATTATCTTAACTATTTGCTGGTGTGATGAGTATGTTATACTTTCCTTGGTATGTTTTCAAAGTGTATGTGCTTTTTTGTCCCATTTAAAACTGTGGAAAATAGAAGGGGGAGTGGAGGAAAAAGCATCTTCTATGGGACCAAGTTTGATAAATTAAAACACATATACTGTATATACACATACACATACATGAGGGTACTTCAAAAAGTTCTTGGAAAGATTTGTATATTTTTTGAATGAACTTTTGAAGTACCCTCATATATCCGTGTACTCACACATATATAATCTGTTCTTAGATATATGTGTGCACACATATTACATTTCTAAAATATTAGCTTCCTGATAACTTTAGTATCTGACATAGAAGGGACTCAGTTCCCATTCATTAATTTATTTCAAGTCAGTTTTAGAGTTTTGCCTAGTTGATGACTACTTTCTTTTTTAGTATTCCAGTGTAAAAATGTAATTGCTTGTTTTTTCACTGTGCAGAAACATTCATAAGCCCTTTCTCAAGAAATGTTTGTGCTTGTATTTATATGCTTGGCTAAGATACTTAATAGTGATGAATGGTGTATGATACTCATAGTATGATGGCTTAAGAAGTCATTGATCACTTCATAACAGAGTGGAGAGAAGTTCTGAGTGCTAGAGCATGTCTTACTGGACAGCTTCAGAGTTGCCAGCATGTTCTCATATAAGCAGTTCATCATCCTTGCAAGCCAAATCCAAGGTTTTAGGGATTATCCCCAGATTTCCAGAAGTGACGCTGGGGTGCCAAGCAGCAGTCAGCATTTGCGCTTGTTCAGTCCATGATGCGTATGGAGAACCAGCAGATTCACCAGGCCCTCGGGGAGTTTGTAGTCTGTTGCAGAGAGAAAGGCCACCACATACCACAGCTATAGGAGTACAGAGGAGGGAGCAGCTGCTGGGCATCAAAGGATGTTTTGCACAATGTTCAACAGAATAGGTAAGAGTTGAGCTGGGCTTGAATAATTCATAGCCACTCTGGTCCGTCTTCTTGCCACCCTGAAAAGCAGCTTTTGGGATGTGCCCCAGGAACCGATAACCTCCCTGGAGGTGCTTGCCACCCCAGGCTGGAGAGAGAGCTGTAGTGTCCTGCTAGGTTAATGAGCACTATTCCTGGCATCTGTCTTCAGGAATAAAGTAATGAAATAAAATAGGTTCTAACAGAACCTTCAGATCTTGTTCCTTCTGTTTTACTGATCTCTTTTCATCAGTATCCTCCATTCTTCAGGTTTTAAGCCTTAGAATCATCATCAAACCTCTGGATTTTACCTCTCCCAGCCAACCCCTCCTTTATGTTCTGACTGTTTTCATCCTATTTCAGAAGCCCATTAAGAAGAAGAATAAAATTAGCTGAGAATTAATGAGCACTTTAATAGATACTGTGTTCCAGGCTCTGGTCTATTTTCGGTGTTCTTTTACATGGATTAACTCATTTAGTCCTTATGACAAACCTGTGAGATACGTTCTCTTATCGTGCAGATAAGGAGATTAATGCCTAGAGAAGTTAAGTAATTTGCCTAATATTACACAGCTGGTAAAAGGTAGAGTCATTGTTCAGACTTGGATGTCTGGCTTCAACTCCCATCTTGTGATTCTGCCTTCACTATTTCTTCCTAGTTATCCCTTAACTATGAGTTTATGCTTTAGTCCCTTCTTTATGTTAATTCTTTGATAGCTACCCCATTGACTTAAATATGCAATATTCTGGTCAGAACTTATCAGTAATAATTTACTGTCCATCAGATGAAGTTTAGGCACCTTAGCTCAACCCTCCAAGGCCTCCTGTTATGCCCACAGCCCACCTTTCCATTCCTCTCTCTTCCTTCAACCACATTGTTTTTCAGCCAAATACAGTTGGTGATTATGCTCCCCACCTCCCACCTTCATATTTCTGTAGTTCTGTTCCATCATTGCATAACACAGTCTTTCCATTCTTCACAGTTAATAAAATTTGATATATGACTATCACTTTGGTGATTTACAAATCTAGCCAAAGCAGAATGATCAGTGTCCAGTGGATATTTAATGATGTGACACTTAGTCACCCCACCCACTGCTCGCTCACTTAGGTGGCATCAGACTAACAAGTGTGGTAAATTTCTGTCTTCCACAAAGACCATAAGACACACCAAGTGAGCAGCCTGATCAGCCAGGAGCCTGTGCATTATACTTTGCCTAAAAACTGATATATATCATAAGCCGATACCTGGAAAACCAGTACTATTACTAAATCCTGAGGTTATTTCTCTACTGGCAAGCTGGAAACACAGCATCACATGGGGTGTAGTGCTGACACACCAAGGTCAAGACCCTACTGTGCCTGGATCTGCATGGAATTCTGCATGTGCTTCCCCACAGCCAGCATGTGCTGTCTACAGACTAGTGAGGTGAGGCTGCAGTCTAACTGTATGCCAGACACAATTATTTGCTTTTCTGTCATCTCTACCTCATTTAACCCTTATCAAATGCTACAAGATTGCTATTCCAGTTTTACATTTCCCATTTTACATTAATCCATTCAGCAAATATTTATTGAGTACCTGCTGTGTGCCAAGCCCTGTTCAGTTGCTGGGTTATAATAGTAAACAAAGCCAAGCCCCTCCCTTTATGGAATTTACATTCTTGTTCAGAGGTCAGACCATAGACAGTGAATTAAAATAAAGCAGGTAATCGAGGCTGGCCAGTTAGCTCAGTTGGTTAGAGTGTGGTGCTGATAACACCAAGGTCCAGGGTTCAATCCCTGTACCAGCCAGCTGCCCCCCCCCC